GCACCTACGTTGACGCAGTTCCCCCTCCTGGGGCGAACATCGTCAGTGGCATGTGGATCTTCAGGGTGAAGCGGCCGCCGGGTTCTCCGCCTGTCTTCAAGGCACGTTACGTGGCTCGTGGCTTCAGTCAGCGGCAGGGAGTTAACTACTTTCATGCCTTCTCTCCCACCTCAAAGATGACCACGCTTCGGGTACTGCTGCACGTTGCTGCTGACCGTGACTACGAGCTGCACTCTCTCGACTTCAGCACAGCTTTCTTGCAGGGCAGCCTGCACGAGGAGATCTGGCTGCGCCGCCCACCTGGCTTCACTGGGTCGTTCCCTCTTGGTACCCAGTGGAGCCTCCGGCGTCCAGTTTATGGTCTCCGCCAGGCGCCACGTGAGTGGCACGACACACTGAGGACTACACTTGCGGCTCTTGGGTTTACTCCTTCTACTGCCGACTCGTCGCTGTTTCTACGCACCGACACCTCTCTGCCGCCGTTCTACATCCTCGTGTACGTCGACGACTTGGTCTTTGCCACAGCTGACACTGAGTCTCTCGCCCACGTAAAGTCCGAGCTACAGAAGAGACACACGTGCACAGACCTGGGTGAACTGCGCAGCTACCTTGGCTTGCAGATCACCCGGGACAGAGCACGCCGCACCATTACCCTGACTCAGTCACACATGGTGCAGCAGGTCCTTCAGCGCTTCGGCTTCACATACTCCTCGCGTGAGGCCACTCCTCTTCCTACTCGCCACTCGCTCTCAGCTCTGCCTTCGGATGAGTCCGTAGAGTCGAGTGGCCCGTACCCAGAGCTTGTTGGCTGCCTCATGTACCAGATGACCTGCACACGACCTGACCTTGCATACCCTCTTAGCATTCTCGCATGCTATGTTGCTCCTGGGAGACACCGACCAGAGCACATGGCTGCAGCGAAGAGGGTGTTGCGCTACTTGTGCAGTACGTCGGGCATGGGGCTATTGCTTGGAGGGCTCAGTCCAGTGGTCCTTACTGGGCACGCAGACGCTTCTTGGGCTGACGACCAGGCTACGCAGCGGTCGTCACAGGGCTACACCTTCAGCCTTGGTTCCGGCTCTGTCTCGTGGCGGGCTACTCGCTCGTCTTCTGTTCTCGGCTCCAGTTGTGAGGCTGAGATCTACGCTGGGGCCATGGCTGCACAGGAGCTTCGCTGGCTCACCTACCTGTTGACTGACCTCGGAGAGCCGCCTCGTTCTCCTCCAAAGCTGTACGTAGACAACAAGGCCATGCTGGCCTTGTGTCGAGAGTAGCGACTGGAGCACAGAACAAAGCGCATTGCTCTCCGCTACTTTCTTGCTCGTGAGCTACAGCAGCGTGGACAGTTGCGGCTTGCGTACGTGGCCTCTGAGGCCAACACTGTTGATGTTTTCACCAAGGCACTTCCGCCTTGTGATCATCAGCGCTTCTGCACTTAGTTGGGTCTTGTCCCTGTCTTGCCTCACTTGCTCACCTCTTGACCTTGCTTGTACTGTTACATATATATATATATCTGCTCTTGCTTGTCTAGCCTTATATATATATGTACTCCTGCATGTGAACTGGCCTTGTGGCCTTGTACTTGTGCTCGGAATGTGTGGTGACTTTGTGATCCACCCTGAGCTTTGCTTTGTTTTGCTTTGCTTGACTGGTCTTGTGACCCCCTGTTCTCCCCCACTTTGCCTATGGGGGTGTGTCAGAACATTATAGCTTATGCTTTTGTGTAGGCTGTAGTGGGGTATCCCATAGGGGGTACAACCCAATTAGGGTTAGTACTTGTACCCACTTCATTCATAGTTCATCCATTTCTCGTTTCAGTTTTCTCACTGTCATGTTGCAGCTTGCATTTTTTTGCGCTCGCCAAATTGAAGAGGCTATGACTGGCCCCTCCATCGACGAACATTTTCAGGTTATTTTTTAACACCTTACCAGCGACCAGCACAGGGTGATCCACGTGATTATCCCCGTTGTTTGGCCGAGTGCGATCGATTGCATGAATCGGAACCACGACTCGATGGGGATGGTGGGGTTTGGGCGACGGAGCACTGTCAGTAAAGGGCCCGCGAATTACTGACTCTTCCCATTTCCCTGCTCCTTCCTGTCGTTCCCCGTCAGTGGCGTTTTCTCGTGGCAATCTTTCATGTAGTGACCCGTCTTCCCACACCTAAAACACGGTCCCTTAGGAGGGCGGTCGGGTGTATGGACGGCGTTGATCGTGGTCCGATGGGTCTGGCCACGAAAACGGTTTCCCTCCCGGGAAGCTGCTCTTGCGTACTGCATCAGCGCATCTATGGACTCAGCCAACTGTACTGCTGCAAGAAATGACGTCGGACGGCCCCTGCGAACCTCGTACTGTATCTCGTATTTGAGGCCGCTGATGTATTTATCCAGCCGTTCTGCTTTCGACATGTCATCGACTTGGTCGGCGAGGCTCATAAATGACGGCGTGTAGTCTTGGACAGAAGCCATCTGCGACCATGCACGCAGCTTTATGCGAGCTTGCTCTGAGGCGGATACGTGCTCGAAGCGACCTCGTAAGGCTGCGCCCCACTCCTTCCACGTGCGTATTGTGGTCACTTTGAAGATCCACGTTGCCACTTGATTAGTCACTGTAGAGGTCCCGTCTGCCGCATGTGTCACACCTGTCGGCGTCCCTGTTTCCAAGGTTTGGCGCCACCACTCAAGCGCTGCACCTCGAAGAAGCGAAACTGCGTAATTAATACGCGTGGCGTCGTCATTAACTCCGGCTGCTGTAAAAAAGACTTCGACCCCGAACAACCACCCTTTTACCGTAACTGTCTTGTCCGTAGGATTAAACGGGGGTTGATTGACGGGCTTGATCTTGATCGTTGTCACTGCAACTGGAGCTGCTGCCGCTCGCTGCCTATCCTCCTCTTCGAAGTCACGTGTGAGTGCATCCAATGGATTGCTCATCGCCTGACTGTTGCCCTCGCCTTCGTCCACAGGCGACTCCTGACGCGCTTCACCTCGCGTCTGGCGTAGCTCGGCGTTTTCCTCTCGTAGTGTCGTCACTTCCGCCATTAACGTCTTCATTCTTTCCTGCATTTCTGCCACTTGCGCCATCATCTTGTTGACCGCTTCCTGATCCATATGCCTAACGCTACGTCTGGTGGGCAATCGGGTCTCCGTGGCCTTCAGGCAAATGAAAACACGAACTATCGGAGTCGGGCAGGATTGAATTAACAATCCCTGCAGCCAACCGTCGTGTAGTCACTAAACCAGCCACACCCTATGCCACCAAACTACCCTCGGAAAAGCGGGGTGAACTAGGAAAGTAGCTCTGGTACCAGGTGTTATGAGTTGTAAAAGAGAGTGCGCAGGTAAACGAATAACCTGTGACTGAATCAACTGCGAATACAATGAATGCACAGACTAATGTAGGACTACTCTAGCTAGGAGGAAACCTCGGACGAGCGAGGTTGGGTGCAGGTTTGGCGATGGGAAAGCCGAAGGCGACGTGAGGAGCCTCGGCAGCGTTGAAATCGGCCGAACGTGCGAACTCCGAAAATCGGGTTGTACGCGAAGCAGTCAACCCCGATAAGGAATTCGGGAAAATTCCTTACAACTTGGGCCACTTCACCTCTTGGACCACTTGCAGTGGAAGATTCGCCAGCGTGGCGACTGCGAGATTTTGGGATTCACCAGCGTGGCGACAGCGAGATTGTGGGAGCAGGGATATCTCGGCTGATTCTAAGTGAAAGTACATGCGAAATTTCTTCTAGGGAGTGATTTTCGCGGTATCCTCCCATAAGGAATCGGACTCGATAACAGCTATAATAGGTATCTATAAGAAAAGGGAGGTGTTATAGAGAATCAACCCAAAAATGGGGGTATAGTACTAACGGGGTCAGATATAGCACCTATCCCGTATAAGCTATCCGGGGGTGTACAATTACGGGGGGGTGTTTTATCCGGGAGAATACGGTACTTGTCAGCTTTCTCTGACATCACGTCTGACAGATTCAACTCGACGGACGCTCGCGATCACATCAACGACATCGACGGTCACTGCTCGTCAACCTCTGACCATGCATCAGAAAAACCCGCCAAAATCGCATGCGTCGTTACCGTACGATCGAAATTTGCCTCATCAACGACTCACGCTCCTTTGCAATTTTCAACTCGACATTCGTTTTCAACTGTCCGATCGACATCGGCAGTATCAACGGCTGACATTCCAACACTTTGATTTTCACTTGTCAACGTGCTCAGCCACGCGTCAACTCGAAAGTCAACTGGCTTCTGTACCGTGAGATCAGTTTCGACCGAGATCTTCAGTTTTCATGCTACTGCAAGACTCGACGACAGATAAGGGGACCTTATCTAGAAGGTGAGAAAGTGTAACGAATATACATTTATTACTGCCGAAGCTGCTCCTAGCGAGGACAGCCCCGAGCACTTCGTGTCATGTTTTTCGGTTCGGCCTACATTTCGGTCCAAACTACTGCCGAGTCGCTCCGCACCAACCGCGATACATCCAACCCTCGCACGTCCCGAGGTCCGCACCTAGCACGTATTCGCCCTATAAATGCTTCTCTTGTTGATTCAATGCTCATTCAGTAATTCTGTAATCACAACCTCTTTATAGAAGTCTTCCGCACACTCTTTTTTGTACAACTCATAACAGATTGTGTCAAATGTAACCTGACATGGTATCTTGACGTTAATCAAATGTCCACACCAGTCGTAACGGTGCTCTGCTCACGGAAGGGAAAGCAGTGAGCTGGCACAATGACAGAAATGTTAGAAAGCCTTCTCACCAGTCTCCCTCATTTTCCACTCTGGCCCAGGAGGGAGCATGCGAATGCTAGAGCTCGTGCACATGATACTTGTGGGGAGCATGCAAATTCGCACCCTGCTCCTTGATTCGCTGCCATACCTTATTACATGAAAGGAATCTCATAGAAAGGCACACCTTTCAAGGCTTGTTAGGTTCACGCACAGCTTACTAAGGTCTGAACTGCTGCACTCCACACACCCTAAGGGGTTGCACCACCTTTCTTGGACCACCCCTCCATAAGCTGATGCACAACCCCCTTAACTTTGTGCATTCTTTTATGTGCTCCCTTCTTCACCCCTTCCACAATCCTCCCTCCAACGTGCATCGCTTCTTCCACCAACTCAGATGCTCTACTCCCTGCATCACCGTGCTTGTCCCCCTCAACACCGCGTCGTGATTCAGCCGTGCGTGTGACTGCTTCCTCTTGTGCCTTCTGCGTTCCTATCAACCGCTTTCCAGTACCATCAACCGCTTTTCCTATCAACCGCTTTCCTAGCTCCCTCATTTGGCTCACCACTCCTCCATCTGACGCTTCTCCAGCAGCTGTGCCTCGCTGCAGGGCCACCCCTACAGCAGCCTTGGCGCCTTCAAGGCTGGACGTGGCCTGCTGCTGCAGCAGTTGAGCTAGTGCAGAGGGGTCACGGGGGACGGCCTGCCCTGCAGCCTTCACCCGCTCCACTGCTTGCTGCAGCAGCTGCCTGGCCTTCACTACCGCAGCATCAGGGCTCCATCCAATGCCAAAGCCCCCACCGTTCGCCCTCTCCGCTGCTTGCTTCCTGGCTAGAATCCCTGCCACTCGCTCAAGCAACTGCTTCTCCTCCTCAGATGCTTCCACCGCTATGCCGCCGCCAGTCCCTTCTCCTGCACCACCATCATCTGTTCCTATGCCTGCACCATCCAAGCTGCTCTTATCCTCCCCTCCCTTTATGTCGTTCTGTTGCTGCCACCGGCGCTGCAGCTGCAGGCGAGCCCTTTGCAGCTCCTCCGCTGCATCCTGCACCAGCTGTGCCTGCTCCTCTGTCACATGCCTGAGGAGGGAAAGACCCGCAGGATGCAAGAGAAAGAAACGTACTACAGGAACCAGATGAATATTTAAACTGGTGAAAAAGCACAGTTTTCACATGAACCGTTAGGAAAGGCATTACCATAAAAAGAAACCCACCTCTTTGCCTCCAGTTGATCCTTTTCCACTCGCAGCTCCTCTGCTGCTTCAGCGGCAGCAGCAGCAGCAGCCCTCGCCTCAGCAAGTGCTTGCTCTGCTGTCCTCCGCTCCTGCTCTACCTTGCTAATCTGCCTCTCCACCTCCTGCCTCTGCTGCTCCACAGCTGCCTCCGCTTCCTCCCTCTCTCGCTGTGCCTCCGCCCTCATCCCTGCCAGCACCTGTCGCTGCTGCTCCAGCTCCTCCTGTCGAGAGAGGGCAGCATGGGTAGGAAGGAATCATGCACAAGTGCTTCGGACACATGGAGAACAACAGCACAAAGGAATGCTTGCACCATTGCGAAGCCGCAAACATCACCATTCTAGCTTCACAACTACTCACCAATCACCCTCATCCACCATATGCAACCCGTGTCCATACGCATTCCTCCGCCCTCTCACACTCTCGCACAACACCCCCGCCCTTCCCCCCCCAACCCCCTCCCATCACCTTCTCTGTCTGCAGCTCCGTCTCAATCCGTTCCACGCGCGCCACAGCAGCCTCTGCCGCCCTCTCCGCCTCCTCCCGGCGCCTCCTCTCCACCGCCACTGCCTCTTCCTTTGCTGCCAGCACCGCTGCCTCTGCCGCTGCCGCCGCTGCTGCCTCCTCCTGAACCACAGCCATGGCGGCCTCGGCTATGTGCTCTGCCTCCACGCGTGCCATCTCCCCCGCCACCACCTCGCTCACCCCGCCCCCCGCCAGCGCCACTGCTGCCTGTCCGCGCGTCACTGGCTTGTGCGGGTCAAAGCGGCGTGTGAAGCCTGTAGAGGGGTGGGAGAGAGGGGTGGCGGCATGGGTGCGGGTGTTGGCCAGTGGTGTTGACCCATGTGTCAACATGGTATTGTTGCTTTGAGCTGCGTGATGGTGCTGATGGCTTCAACATTTTGTGCACTGGTGTGGACAGAGGTATCGTATGGAGGACTGGAGGCATGGCAGCATGGAGGCATGGCAGCATGGAGGCATGGCAGCATGGAGGCATGGCAGCATGGAGGCATGGCAGCATGGAGGCATGGAGGAAGCGACTGACCGAAGGCAGCAGCAATGATGCTCCTGTCGCCTCTGAGCACGTCCTGTGCGATGGCAGGAAGGGCATCCTCGTCCACCCTCTCCGCGTCTATGAACCCCACCGCTGCTACCACGCCCTGCCACGTGGACCCGCACACGCATGCACGGAGGGAGAGGAGCCAAATTCTTTTTAAAAAAGGGATAAAAAACCACTGTTACATAGAGAGCAAGGGCGACATGAAGAACCAAATGATGGAGCAAAAGAAATATTAGCAAATAGAAAAAAAAAAGTTATGAATTTGCAAAGGTGAGGGGTAGAATGAGGCACGTTGCGCACCTCCTTGGGCTGCAGAGGCATCATGTTGTGGTAGTCCAGAGAGAGCTTCCAGGAAATGAGGTCCTGACGAGTCAACGCACTGCCAACACAAAGGTTGAGGTGAGCGACGACACGGCAGGTGAGAAAAATCGTGACAGCACAGTGCACGCATGGTGGAGTAACGACATGTGACGAAGTACGTGGGCACATCATGCCATGGTGGTATCGTGGAGAAGAGATTCAATGGCATGCTGGTGTGCTAACATGGTATGGTGGATGAAGAGACGGTGACAGGTGCGGAGTGAAACGAAGAATTTATCATGGTGGGATAACTGTAGCATTAAAAGAGCTCCCTAGATATGCCTCCAGCACGTATGTGGTGGTACCAGTCAGGGCGGAAGGCAGCACTGGCGTCAGCACTGCACCCCCTGCGGCGCGCAGCAGCAGCGGCACGCGGGCAGCCAAGGTCCGCATGGGAGAGCTTGCTGGCGATCAGCCCTGCCTCCGCTAGCCCTGTGCATGCAGGGAGAGGGGCGAGCGAGTGAGCGAGAGAGAGAGAGAGTGCGAGTGAGTTTATGGCACAGAATGTGGCATGTCACAGGCGAGGCATCTCAGCACACGTAGCAATCAATGCTGTGAGCAGCAGACACTGCTGCCAGCGCACGGCATGGGGCATACCCTGAATGTAGGGGAAGTCGGGGTCGGAGGCCGGCACATCATCAAAGGCGAGTGCGGTGGCACCGTCCACATACATGGCGGGGTAGATGCGATCCGATGCCGCCCTGCATGCACCATTGCGGGAGGGAGACGTGGTGATGCAAGGGGAGAAAGCAGCGGCGGCCGCGGCGTGAGGAGCGGTGGGAGGGGATGCATCTAACGTCCAAGAGTGGTGTGTGCACGTGCTCATGTGCAAGAGCGTGCAGGGAGCGCCTTGTCAATTACCATCAGCTCCATCCTCTCCACTCTCTTCATTCGCCATGCCTTCCCTGGCCCGTGCGTATGCGAGAGCAGTGGTGTCTCACCGCGACAGTGTGTTGGAGGCGTGCACGAGCCAGCGCGCGAACTCCCTGCGCGAGCAGATGCCCGCCGCGTCCACGCCCTCCTCTATCACCTGCCACACGCTCACAGCAGCAGCACCAGCACGCACGCAGACGTAGCGGCAGGGGCACACAAGCACGTGAGAACATGCGGGAGCAAGAGGTGAAAGAAGATGTACATGAGGAGATGATGCAACTGCATATTCTGAGACGTCTCAACACATTTCTTCAAACACATAGCATGCCAGATACAAATCAACCACCTCTTCCCGTCCGTCTCCATTCCCACTCTTCCCTGCTCCCTGCCACCATACCCAACCCTTTCAACCCCGCACCATCCCTGCCAACATCCATTCCCTACAATCCCTTTTCCCACACCCCCTCCCTCCTCCCCCTTTTCCCCCTCACCTCCAGCGCCTCCAGCGCCTCCAGCGCAGTTTGCTGCGAGCTGTCCACGGCTGCGCGCACCACCACCTGCCCCGCCCTCGCCTCGCCCGCCCCGCCTGCAGCAGGGGGCGCGGCGCTAAGCGGCGCAGGCACAAACACCGCCATGCCCCATGGCATGGGGCTGGAACCACCTGCACTGCTGCTCCCGCTGTCAGTCGCTGCTGCCGCAGGAGAAGGAGGAGGGGGAAGCACAGCAGCAGGCGCACGAGCAGCAGCAGGGTCGGAATCAGCAGCACTCGCAGCAGCCGGCACTCCACTCACCGTCCCGTCCTCTGCTGTCGCCACTACCTCACCCTTCCTACCTTCCCCATCCGCTTTCTCTCGGGACGCTGCCTCCGCTTCTCCTCCCCCCTCCCCCCGTCCCTCCGCGCCCTTATCCCCCGCTTTCCCCCCCTCTCCGCCCTCCCCCGCCTGCTCCGCCTGCATGGCCTCCAGCCATGGGCGCAGCTCCGACACTGACTCCGCCATCTCCGCCGCGAACGGCCCCACCACGTCCTCCCCCTCCTCCTCCGCCCCGCCGCCCACTCCCAGCGCGCTCAGGGCCGCGCCCGCCTCCCCCTGGTTCCCCGACAGCAGCTGCTCCAGGCCCTGCGCCTTGCTTCCCGCCTGCTCTGCTGCCTCCCCACGCGGGGCCTGCTTCTCCGCGCCCTGCTGCCTGCCCGCTGCCTCACTGGAAGCAGCTGCAGCAGCAGCAGTAGGGCCAGTGGTGGTGCTGGGGTGCGGCAGGGTGATGGGGAAAGGAAGGGGCGGGGGCGTGTCGGCGGCGACAGTGGCAGCAGCGACGATCTGAGACGGCAGCAGCAGGTCGTTCAGAGACGGGTCAACGCCCCTGCTCGCTGCCGCATCCCCCATCCCTCCCGCCCCTGCTGCCCCATCCGCAGACTCTGCCCCCTTCGTGTCCGACTCTCCCTCTCCTCCCGCCTGTCTCTCCGCGCCCTTCTCCCCCGCCCCCTCGCTGCCTGAACCCTCAGTACCATTCAGGGCAGAGGCGGGGCCAGCGGCAGCAGCAACAGTAGCAGCAGACGCAGCGGTGGTTGGTGCCTGGCCCGACGGGCTAGGTTGAGCGGAGGACGGCAGCAGCGTGCCGACCACCGCCGCTTCAGGCGGCTTGGGAGCACTGGTACGGCCTGCAGAGGACACTGGGGGAAAGAGTAGAAAGACGAAGACGTGGGTTCATGATTTACTGGCCTGTTGCTAGCGCCGAAGACGGCGATACCTGCGAGGAAGTGCACGCAAACACTTCCAATGAATCACTCACTCGCTCACATCAGAAGTAGAGGCAGAGGAAGAGGGAGAGGGAGGGGGAGGCGGAAAGGGAGAGGGAGAGGGAAAGGGAGAGGGAGAGGGAGAGGGAGAGGGAAAGGGAGAGGGAGAGGAAGAAGCAGACGCCAAGACCGAACGGCAACGGGACGAATCGGGTGACGGGTGATGGCGCGCACGGCAGGCGAGAGCGGCAACGCACCTCGTTTGTGCAAGCCGGCGAAGGCAAGCGCGCCGAGCCCCAGCAGCAGAACGAAGCCCGCTGCGAACTCGGGAAGGCCTGTGGGTCACAGAAGATGGGGATGGGACGGGGGATGCGCGCAAGCGAGAACGACGTAAAGTGAATGAGGAACGGCAGATAGGAGATGCAGAGCAATGGGATGGCGCGATGCAGGTACTGCGGCTGCATGGCATGACTGTGCAGCATCAGATGGGACGTGCGGCTGATCGTGCAGGTTGCATGCGCGCTCATTGCGTCAATGTGCCGGCAGCACCATCGCCGCCTCCAGCTACTTCGTATCGTGGCACCTATCTTCGTTTCTTGGGTTATCGCGCCCGGCAGGTCCAACGCGCAGTGAATAAGATGAGATCCCACGACGGGTTGCGACAGGGCGTTGCAAGAGACGATGGACGTTGCTTCTTCGGATGTACGTGCGGAATCTACCTTGGGATCCCCGTCGCAGATCACACGAAATACCTGGTGGATTACCCGCCGACGATCGTGATTGGTCTAGATCCGACGGATCGCTCCATCCCCCGGAAACGTCTTTTTTCTGCCCATCGCCCCACGTCGCCGCAGCATCACCGCCGCCGCCCCCGCCGGGCCTGCTCGCCCCGTTGAGCGCGCCCGGTGGAAACTCCGCCCCCGAGGGTCGTTCTGCGCCCTTCCGCGGCTGCTGGCCCTCCCCGCCCGTGGAGTCGCTGAGAGGCGCGTCGCTGCCCGCCTTGGATGCGCGGAGAGCGTGGGTACGAGACGGGGGCAGCGGAGCGAAAAGCGGACTCGGGAAGGAGCGGTGGGGAAGGAACGGAGTAAGACGGTGCGACGATGTGCGACCAGCTGAAGATGGGCGAGAGTGGATGCGACGAGGAAGTAGGGTGGACGAGGGGGAATGGAGGATAGGAGCTGCAGTGGCGGAGAAACAAGTAAGAGGTGTTTGTCCTGCTGTCAGCGACGACGATCCCACGCACTGTCCCGCCATGGCTGCGCGACTGGAGACGGAAGAGGACGGGAAAGAACCGCCTCCGAGGTGTGCGCGAGATTCAAGAACGGAAATGGGGCGCAGAATCTTCTTGCTTTGGGTTTATTACAGGTGAAACACGGGGAGATGGTGACAGAAAGCGAGCGAAACTGGATGAACGGTTCACACCAAACGAATCAAGACGCACTTGATCGAATTCACCTATCGGGCTTACAGGTTGTATCGAGTCGTGAGGCGAACAGGTACCCCTTCACACGACACGTCAGACGGATGTTCACGGGATCTCCCATGAGATGGGAGGAGTTCGCCATAGGATTCGCTGAGCCACACCGGAACAGTGTACCTTGGTCAGTGACTAGTTTGTTCTCCTTACAAACACTGATAGATTCCGTCATATCACTCTTTTGGTTTACCAACTTCATAAGAAACATGCGGTCTCATGTTATTTAGTCCTGTTGGTCAGATTGAACCTTTTTTTTTTTAATGTCATGACTGTTCGATGAAGATCACTATCAACAGGTGCATTTGTACATACAGCTCATCAGATACAGCGGGTTAAGCACGTGCCGACGCCCAGGTCCTTGTCTGAGGCTGGGAGGTCTGCAAGTTCAACTTATTACGGTACTGGCTGGTGCTCAGAGTTCCCTGCGCTCCAGTACATTAGGAGGGATACCCCTGCGTATTTTTACTCCTCCACATTCTGGGCACTGCAATGGTCAGTAGGAAGAGAGGGAACGAGGAATGAAGGTCAGGACAGGAGGAAGGAGAGGACAGTCAAGAAAGAGAGGGCCGTGCAGAGGAACGGGAAAAACACGTTCAAAGAGGACTCATGTTGGGATGGAACAACCATAGCAGAACTTTTGCCCGTGCATACCCTGGAACAGCCTTCGCCTAGACAGGCCGGACAAGGATCATTGCGGTCGAACTTTCCCTCCCAGCGGATCAAGCCAGTGCCCTTGCATAACGTGCAGCAGTGTAGCCCATACCCGCCACACAACTCGCACTGCTCACCACCACACACAGCACCGAGATAACACAGAAGGTGAACGTTGAAGGGACAAATGGAGAGACATAATGGGACAAACCTTGGTGACGCCAGACGAGAGGCGGGTCTAGCATGGGGAACTGCGCATACATCCTTGCAGGGCATGGGCATGGCCTCACCTCGTTGCCGTGCTCCTCATGCTCGTGCTCATGCTGGTGCTGGTGCTCCCTCATCACCAGTGTAGCTATGCCAGCCACAGCCAGCACAACTGCCACCACCACTCCTCCCTTGCCTGCAGTCACTCACACCAAGCACAAGAGCAACGCAATAGACGGAGTCAGTATGGCTGCTACTTTCAACAATCCTGCGCCCGCTGTCAACACCCCAATTCTTTTTCTTCCCTGACTTCTCCCTCTTCCCTTCAACTCCCCACCTCTATCCCCGCCTCCTCTGCCCCCCTCATCTCCTCACCTCGCAGCGCCCCTGTCATGCGAGCCCCTGGACGTCCCGCTGTGGCGGCCGCAGCGCTCACAGTCGCCACAGTCCGCGACGACCGTCGCAGCAAAGCCTGCGACAGCGACGCTGTCGCCACCTGCGCCGCGGCTCGAGTGCTTTCGTGCCCCACGTTGGTCTCCTCCACGCCCGTGGCCGGCCCCGCGGCTGGCCGGGCGGCGATGACGCCGGCGAGCTCATGATGCTCGTGAGACGAGGCAGGAAGAGCGGAGCTGCAAGGGGGAATTGGGAGAGGGGGAGACGAAACGGTAAGTCCGATCCATTCGCAAGCCTCGCGTGCCGCTTTCGTGCCACAAGATTTTACCCAGCCTCTCACCTGCTCGTGACACCAACTTCCGCCTCGCCACCCGCTTCGCGCGCAGTAGCAGAGCAAGAGAAGCTCCAGCGGCGCGGGACAACATGACTCACACCGTGCGACGGACTATGGCCGTTGGAGTGGCCAAGAGACGGGGAGCGGCGGAGGAATGGGGACGCGCAGACACAGGAGAGTGCGTGCGGGCGTGCAGGCATGGTGGTCGCCACGGCGAGCGACGAGCACGTGCCTGTAGTGCTGCTGGTATTGGGTGGTCGAGACGCAAAGAAACGGACACAGAGAAACCGATTGGTGAGGACTAAGGTGTGGGGGAGGTGAAAATAGATATGCGCGTCGTGACTTCTCATACCCTCGTTGTTCCCCTTTTAGGAGACGAGGAGTTACGCAAATTGGGTAGTGTAAGGAGCTCAGCGACTCTCAGAAAGAAAGGCTCAAGAGGAAAGGACGCGATGGTGAGGTTTGGGGCGCCAGGGTCACTGTAGTGCTGGCCTCACCTGTCAATGCGTAGAGCGGCAGTGGACTGGCCACGTGTCAGCGCTGTGGAGTGGCACGCAGATGGTACTAACGATGCCATTAGGCAAGGGCGATCAGAGCGCGCAGATGCAGACGAACGTGAAAGGCTCGTGGACTTGAGCAGAAAAGGCATGGTTGACTCCTTGTTTCGAAAAAAGTCTACCTCAAGGCCAAATGAAGGTGGACGATCAGAAAGGCAGAGCAAAAGCTAGTGAAAGTCTAGGATCCGGCAGAAAAGGGTGAAAGCTCACACATCTATCGGTCGACCTCTTTTCTTCCCTCAGAAACATCTGAACATAGTATGTCTTAAGGACAGCAGCGATGTGTGGAGTAGACTAGACAGTCAGCGCTGGCGGACGACTAAGTGGTCCCGTTCATTCACTTTCAAAAAATATTTCCCCTTATCTGGAAGAAGTATTGGGCTCAGGATGGATAAAGTGAATATTTTACCATTGTCGCTCTGCTGCTGCAGTCGGAACCATGAGATAAACCTCCAGCATTATCCTTTTTGCTCCACTTAAACTGCCCGTGGTGTGAATTCATCTGCATTTCCAATGAGGATGCTCAAGGGCCAGTCATTTTAGTCACTAGCCCTAAACTCTCGGGAAATATCTGCAAGTTTGCTGTCGCCCTAACCCGATTCGTCCGACCAAGTCCTCGAAACATGGCGCGATGAACCTGCACCCGTACCTGCCGCCAAAGCACTTCCGAAATTTCATAGCTGGTCTGAGAACCACACGACACGACACAAGTGGTTGATGCAAGTCTGACGTGCGTCGAATGGCTGGTAAAGCTCGAAAGCCGTGGCGCCAATGAGAACTGAACGTCTCTCCGTCTGCTACTTTACCTCGTCCGTTCCTTTGCAATTGACGTGGATGCTGTACCGCTGGATGGTCGAAACTGCAGGACCTGTCAGCTCGAGGTTTCGCTATCAGCTGTGTTCCATGTTAGCTGTAAGTGTATTTCTTTCACAACGCTTGGAAGTTTCAATGCTTCGTGGAAAGAGATAATAAATGTGGAATGCACTTTGCAAAAGCATATGTTCCTCGGTCCAGCCACTATCGAGGACAATCTCCCCAGCCTTTCAGGCCGGGCTTTTAGGCTTGCGAATCTCGAGGCTCCGGCAACCTCTCTCGTAATGCCACATCACCAGTTGGCTCCCCCAAGTGCCCGTTGGGGAAGTGGTGATTTGCGCAGCATGGAGTGAAGTCTTCTCACATGCAGCGAGCAAGAGGAGGAAGCATCTGCGGCGGTCAGTAATTACAACTCCCACGCTCGCAGCAACGCCACAGCCAACACGTACTGGTCGCCTCTAAACACGTCTGCAGCTTCCTTGCACGAGCGGAAACCATGGATGCCTGTGTCGCTGCCTCGTTCTCCGCTCCCAAGTGCGCTGTCACCGCGGCACGAAGCTCCTTTCCAAAATCCACCACTCCTCTCGTCCAATGCAGCGCTTTCCGCGGCACGCCACTTCGCACGCCGTCGCTGGCACCTGGTCGTAGGCTAGTAGCCCCGGTAAAGCAGAGGCAGACGGTACGAAACGGGCTGTTTGATTTCGTTGAAAAAATCAGCTTCCCGACAGATTTGTTCACGGCGTTCACGGGTCCGAAGGTGAGCGACGAGCAGCGCGAGGCGCTCAAGGAGGAGCTGCTTGAGGCCATCGCGCCGCTCGAACGAGGACTCACCGCCACGGAGGAAGACGAGCAGATCATCGAAGAGGTACCGCGTGTCGGCTGTACGCGCGTAGATAGTCTTTCTTCCCCGTCTGCATTTGCTTTCCTCGTTTCGTCGAGACGATATAGAGCGTGCCCAGTTTCTGCCGTCACGCGCGACATTCCCTCGTTACTATGCGTTTACTCGCGTCGCCACAGTTTCATGCGTGCTCGGCCTCTGTACCCGTCGCATTCGCAGCCCGCGCATTTGCCTCTCGGCGCCTCCTGCCCGCCGTGACGGTAACCTTTGCATGAGCGTTACCGTCTGTTTCCCTTTCTCGTTCCGTCTCGCGCCTTCTCGCCCCGTCCCCTCGCGCCGTGTGGCAGCTGGCGGCGCAACTGGAGGCGGTGAATCCGACGAAGCAGCCGCTGCGGTCGCCGCTGATCAACGGCAAGTGGAAGCTGCTCTACACCACGTCCGACACCATCCTCGGCCGCAGTGTGAGTCGCCGCGCGCAACGCCGTCTCTAGAAGCTCGAGAAGAAGGAACTCCGAGTAGTGCAGTGATGAATTTGTGTCATACCACCCTTCAGCCCGCTCCATGTGCTCCCGCTCATCCACCACCCGTCGCTTAGTCTATCCCGTTTCCCCAGTCCAGTGTCGAGCTTGTGAGCCAGAATCTTTTTTATGTCTTTCCCTTACTCGCCCCGCCCATTGCCTACCGGCATGTCTCCGCGCCTGCCGCTGTCCCCGTAACTGCTGCCGCGCAGAGGCCCTTCTTCCTGCGCCCCTCGGGCCCCATTTTCCAAGCCATCGACGCGGAAACACTGCAGGCGCGCAACCTCGAGACGTGGCCTTTCTTCAACCAGGTACCCGCACCACTGCTGCTGCCGTTGCTGTCGCCGCTTCCGCCGCTGCTGGTGCTGCTGCTGACGCTGGACGAACGCAACTGAAAGAACGAACCGAGCATTGAATTCTCTCGCAATCTGGGCATCACGCTCTCTCATTGCACCCTGCGCCTCTCGTGCTGCTTCGATGCGCGGCATCGCGCCCCTGTGCGTGTCAGGTGCAAGCGACGCTGACGCCCACGTCCGCCTCCGCTGTGGACGTCAAGTTCGACGTCTTCAAAATCCTCTCCCTGGTACGCTGCTCGCCGCTCTGCTGCTCGCTGTGTGCGTGCGTGCACCTGTTCACCCCCTGCCAGTATCCCCTGTGATCACATGTACTGGCATGTCTGCTTGCAACGTCCCATCCTGCTCCATTGCCGCGCACCAGGCTCAAAAAGTTGCACTGGTCCTAACCCCTGCTCCCTGCTGGTTGGCAGGTGCCCATCAAGGCACCAGACACAGCCAGGGGGTCCTTAGAAATCACCTACCTAGACGACGACCTGAGGTCAGCATGCTCTGTGCCCTTGGCCTTGTTCTGATGCTCCACCACCTTGTTCTGGTTGTCCACTTTCATGCCACTTGTGAAATTAAGTGTCTCTCTGTTAACTCTCCTAGCGCTCCCTGTGCACTGGAGCGGGCTTTTGAAAACATCCTAGCTCAACCCTGGCTCTCCTTTCCACCTCATTTCCCCCCCCCCCCCCTCCCCCCCCGCTTAACTGTGGCATGGTATTCTGTGTGCAGGATCTCACGGGGCAACAAGGGCAACCTCTTCGTACTTACCATGGAGGATGCCTCGTACCGCATTCCCCTGGGAGAGGAAGAGAGCGAGGAGGAAGAGGAGTGAATTGCCGATTAAGGGCGACTGTCTCCGGTGCTCGAGCTTCAGGACTCCAATTGTTTGGTACACATTGCGAGCGCATTGTGGTAGGTGCAGTAAATATACCTAAACCTGCTGCATCTTTCAGTAAAAAAAGTATTCTTGGATGGCCAGCCAGCCTTCGGGCTGTAGGTTTAGTAATGGTTTTGAGTGCATGCATCTGACAAAAAGTCCAGATTCAATATCATTTGTTATCAGGCAGTTACCATGGTCCGTGGGTGTGATTTGTTGGAAACAACTAATTCTAAGCGCCTCTGTCGTGTCGAAACACCAAGGCACAAGTGGAGCACAACATATCGCAGCATCAGCGAGTCAACCCTCGGAGATTGAACAATGAACAACTGCTGTAGGTTGCGCGAAAGTCAAAGGTCAGCGACCTTTGAGCTGACAAGTACAGCGCGACAGCAAGGACACACAACTGACTCGCTACAGAGCAGTTGCCCGAGTCGTCACTGTATCGAACCGCAACAGCAACAGTAAAGCAGTTATCACTGTATCTCTTCATATTCCTTGTACTCTTATATAATCCTGTATCTCCTTGCTTTGATCAATCTACTTAGCCCTCACATACCAGCGCAAGGTGGTTCACAACTCTTTATTGAAACGCTTCCGCTCTTACATTAGTCCTACCCAGAGTTCACCCCTGCAAAGATCCTATGGGCTTTTCTCAGCCCAACATGGTATGAGAGCTATCACGGGGAATTCAATTATCAAAAAACCTACAGCATCAGAAGACATGGCTACTCATAAGGAAAGGAGTTCCTCTATTGGTTCTCCCGGCACTACTCCTACTCCACCTCCTGCCTCTGGCCTACAGACAGAGGAGGGTACGGCAACAAGACCCAGGGCCACATCCACCGAGACTCCCGCGAATCAACCTGCAAGCTTCGACCAGAGCATGATGGAGAAGTTTTTCTCCTTCATGTCCTTCTATGAGCAACACCAGCAATCGGCACCTGCGCAGTCACACAACAGCAACAACAACAACGACGTGACTCCAATGAGCCTTGATGCTTCATCCTACGCACGTGGAAATCAACAGCAGCAACCTACCTTTGCTCCGTACGAGCCCCAGCGCGGCTCCGTCAGTTTTATGCCACAACCACAGCCTGCACCTGGACAAGAGAAGACACTGGACGCGCTACAAGTTCAGTCGCAGTTCGCGCACGTTCTGAAGTTGCAGACATCAAGACCTTTCGACGGAAAGGTTTTTTTACCTGGTCATTCGAGTTCGAGCTGATGATGGAAGGCGCGCAAATCCTCGTCTTTTTCGACGGATCCCTGCCATACCCAACAAACGGCACACAGTACGAGAAGCAGCAGTACACCTATCAGTCAATGATGACGTACACAATCCTACTGAGGAACATCACGCCAACTCAGCAACAGAATATACGGTCTTACCGGGGATACGGCAACTTCGCTGATCTCGCATACAGCCACTTGAAAAGCCTGTACCAAGCAACAGACAGCGTAAGTCAGAGTCGACTAATGGCACAACTGACAACAATCGAATGAAACCAGGGGAAAAGGGGATGGCGTATATCAATCACTGTCGTGAATTGCGCGACAAACTCCTTCGATGCGGAGGGTCGATATCTGAAGACGCCTTCATGACAGTCATCATTGGCGGCCTCGGTCCTCA